GGAGGGAGGGAGAGAGAGAGAGAGAGAGAGAGAGAGAGAGAGAGAGAGAGAGAGAGAGAGAGAGAGAGAGAGAGAGAGAGAGAGAGAGAGAGAGAGAGAGAGAGAGAGAGAGAGAGAGAGAGAGGGAGGGAGAGAGAGAGAGAGAGAGAGAGAGAGAGAGAGAGAGAGAGAGAGAGAGAGAGAGAGAGAGAGAGCGAGCGAGTACATGGGTCGAGCAAGGAACAGATGAGGGAAGAAGAGGCGTAACATGAAGAAGGAGAGTGAACAGGCTTCATTCAACCAACAGCGCCTGAGCTTCGTCAAGAAATCGATCGATGGTGCCAAGCAAGGCTTCAAGACTATTCTTGCCAGCATGGTCGTCCACAGCATGCACCATGGCTGACTTGAGCGAAGTGAGCTCGTCTCTTAGCCGCGAAAGGATATGGTCGAGGGTGTGGTTGGCTTGCTGCAGCTTGTGGTTGCTAACGATGGCTGACTCGAGCTCATCGAGCAGTTCTCTGTTGTGGTCGATCTGTTTGTTCAGTTCTTCTCTGACCTGCCTCACCTCCCCAGTGCTTTCCTTCTCAACCTTCTCGCGCATCCTCACGATCTGAGCAGCCATGCTTCTCTTCTCCGCTGCATGATGCGCAAGGGCCGCCTCAAGCTCCTGTCGAAGGTGTTCTTCTCCCACCTTAGCCTTGGCGGCTTCGAGCCTGCTCATGTCTACATCTTCCCTGAGAGCGTTGTGATGTTGTTGTAAGAGAGTCAACGTGCTGTGAAGATCTGCCACCTTCTCGTCAGTCTCGCGATTTCATCTGCACGCCTTCACCGTCATTTTCAGCAACCAGTCGCTGAATTTCCTCAGCAGCTTTTCCAGCACAGTTGTCAAGGATCCTTTTCTCCTCTTCCAGCTTGCACACTTGACCCTGTCGACAGCATCACTCTTGTTCTTGAGCCTCTCCTGGCGCACCAGCAGGACCTCGAGCTCCTTGCTAGGGTAGCGGGGAACGTCCAACGGGGATGGGGATAAAAAGTTGTCAAACGGGGAATGAGCAACCTTGCGAGACGCAGAGCCAGCAGCTGAGATTTGACCGATTGATGAGCCAAATGATTTCTTGGGGAGAGAAGAGGAGGAGGGGACGTTTGACGAGTTATGATGCAAGGAGACGGTTGAGAGGGCGTGAAGCAAGGTCTCCATCGTTTGATGTAGGTGATCCACGTCGGCTGTGAGAAGCTTCCACCTCTTGCTCTCCGCGTTCTCTTGCAAGTTGTGCAGAACGGAGTAGCGAGAGGCCCAGCTGATCCGATCTTGATGGAGCCTGACCAGATGCTTGTACGTCTTGTTGATTGAGCGATTGATTTGAAGAAAGGAGAAAGTCTTCATCTTGCTTGTCCTCTCTCTTGATTTCATCATGACAACCGCAACCATTCTCCATGGTCGCTCAGCTTCATGTTCACAACTCTCATCTCCTTCTGGTCTTGTTGTGGCGTGTCCAGCCGCTGCTCTGGTCGCCCTGCCAGTCAGAACCTCGTTGGTTATGGCTACAAGGTCCAAGTTGAACATGCTCAATCGGTTGACCGATCGCTCTAGCGCGTCCAGCACTTGACTGACTTGATACTCCCTGTCAGTTAACTCCCGGACTCTCCTTTCCTCCTCTCCATCTCCTTCTTGTCCAGGGCCAGCACTCGCAAGGGCCCCGGCTGCTCTCCGGTGCAGCCTCGCCTCCTCCCCGACGCTTCTGACAGCAGCCAAGACGCTGCTCTGCTCAGAGATCTGCTGCAGCTGATCCAGCAGGGCGTCGTACTTGTCCTGGAGGTCTTCGTTTCTTTCGATCATGATGTGATACTTGTGGCTGAGAAAGGCTTTTTGTTTGCACCTCTTGTTGTAAGATTGGACCATCTCTTCACTCTCTTGCAAACACACCCGACTCTCTGCTCGCAGTTCAGTGATGTCGATGAGAATTGATGAAGACAACTGATGGAATTTGCAGTTTTCAACCCTCAGATCTTGATCGTGCAAGGCTTCATTGCAGAAAGATGCCAGCCCATCACTCAAATGTTTGAGCTCAAGTTTCATCCTTGACAACCCTTCCCTGATCTCCCGGTCGTTGTTCACTCGTTCGCTTTCCAGCTGCGCTAGGAACAGAACCTGACGTTCCAACATTCTCTCACAAGTGCAAGACAGTCGATCGACAGAGCCTTCGATGACATGCAGGAGATTGAGCTGAACACATTCATGTATCTGCGTTGTAGAAAGAGCCCCTAGCAGGTAGGCGGCGTCATCCCGCAGAGTTGTTATCTTGCAAGCCTAAGAGTCAGAGTGCAGCCTCAGATCAGATCAGCAATGGCACCTGTTGTAGTAGTTTACATGCTTCCTCCTCCGCCTGCTTCGATCGTTGTCGCTCTGAATCGCAGATTGTTTTCAGTGCCGTCATGTCGTTTGCATGTGCTGAATCACTCTGAAGGAAATCACTGTGGGACAGAAAACTGATCAAACCTCTTGAAATCGCCAATGCACACGAACAACACTTTACCTCAACCTGACATGCAATTGCCTCATCGTCGAATCAAGACCGTGTTGACAATTCTCAATCTGATCGAGTTTGTGCTGAGCCTGAAAGGACGGTCAAATCCTGACAAGTTTGGTAGAAGAATACCTCTAGATGTAAGTGTTGCAAGTCAGATAAACTTCTGTGCATCCTTTTCACTTCTTCCATCAGCTGCTTACAAACGTCAGGAACTGTCAACACTATCCTCCTCCATGATCTCAACAAGTTTTACACGGCGCTGCTAGAGGCAGAGGTAGAGGTAGAGGTAGAGGTAGAGGCAGAGGCAGAGGTAGAGGAAGAGGTAGAGGCAGAGGCAGAGGTAGAGGTAGAGGTAGAGGTAGAGGTAGAGGTAGAGGCAGGAGAAGAAGAAACGAGAACAACATTGTCTATCCATGTAGATGTTTCACCCAGAGCAGTTTGATTTTCCATCTTCTCCATTTCCCTGAGAGTTTTATCACTACCAACGAAAAGCAGGGGCAGTGTAGGGTACCACGCTGCCATTAGATCCATCTTCTGATTTTCAGCGAGCGAAAGTTTCCGTCTCAAATCATGAATCTCTGCTGAAGCCAGCTCTTGCAAGTCATTCAGTCTCTCGTTTGTATTTGACTGCATAGCGTCTCTTTCTCTCAACAGAGCCTCGAGCTGTTCCTTCTGTCCCTTAACGTTCAACACGTCATGAGCAGTTTGCGGCAGTTCAGGCATGTACCTGGCATCTCTCAAGCTCTCTCGCTCTCCTCTCTCGCTCTCCTCTCTCCTTCTCTATTGTACAAAAGATTTGTTGTCTAGCTTTCAACGCTGTTTGCTCGGTATACCCGAACTGAACCTCCAGCTGATCTATCAGCTCAGAAGTGTCCATCATGTCAAACTTAAAATCGACGCAGCTCTTTGACAGGATGCAGATTTGACTTTCTTTGTCTCTCATCTCATTTCTCATCACACCAAGCTGATGCTTTTGCGTTCTGATCTCATTCTGCAAGGTTTCATTCATTCGGGTCAAATCTTTGATTTCAGACTGCATGCTTGATAAGATCGTTTCTGTTTCCTGTCTCAACTTTCGTATTTCCCCTTCAGTTCTTCTCTGAACATGCTCAAGAAAGAGATTCACTTCCGATACTTTCTCTTCCACTTGGCGATGTTTTGTTTCCGCCTCCTCTTCCAGCCCCTTGCAAACAAGTATCTCTGCGTTCTCCTTCACCAGCATGTTCTCCACCAGCTGGTACACCAGCGCTGCCTTGTCTGCCATCCTCCGCCTCCTCATCGAGTCGCAGCTGGCACTGGCAAAGCTTTCTTCGAGGAGGGCAGGGTTCTTCAGGCTCCAGTCCGACTCAGGGTGGAGAGATTCGAGCATATCTTCCTCCATATCCCCGTGGACAAGCTGCCGCATGCGCACGCTCTCGGCTGCCTCCTCCTCCTCCTCCTCCTCCTCCTCCTTCTCTTCCTCAAAGTTTCTCAACCATCAGGCTTGCTGTCTGTTCTCAGTTCCGTCTATTCACAGCTTGTCTTTCAGAAGAGTATGATGAGAGTGTTTGCCTGTGAAGCGTTTGAACCCTGCAGGACACTCTAACCACCACCAACGTCTCTCGTCCTCGTCTCCTTCTCTTCCTCCTCTGCTTTCCGGGCCCTCCTACCTTGTGCTTGTCGAGTATTAGTCCGGGCCTACTTGCTCCTGATGGAAATATGTAATGTTCACCGGACGTGGGTGTATGTTCCTTCCATGAAACTTGTTTCGAGAGAAGCGTGAAGGTTGGAGTAAGTGCGTATCTATCTCATCCTTGACTTTCTGCTCTTCTCGTTCTCACGTGAGCAAACATGTCAATCTCAAGTTCTTTTATGAACCGGAGCACAAGTTTCAGTCAGACTCTCCAAGCAGGAAAACAATAACTAAGTTGCTGATGTTGCAGTTAGCAACATTTGCTCGAGGTAGAGCTAGAGCAAAGATGTAAGCTTTCAGGTCAGCATGGAGCTTTTCTCTCCTCTCCTCTCCTCTCCTCTCCTCTCCTCTCCTCTCCTCTCCTCTCCTCTCCTCTCCTCTCCTCTCCTCTCCTCTCCTCTCCTCCTCTCCTCTCTTCTCTTCTCCTCTCCTCTCCTCTCCTCTCCCCTCCCCTCCTCTCCATCCCCTACTCTCATCTAATTCTTTCCACCTATCACTTCCTACCTACCCAACTTCTTCTCTTTCCTTTTGCCGTGTTCAGCTGATTTATGTTGGAGCAGCCGAAGAAAAATTCACTCGCTGCTCCTCTACTGAATCCATCAAAGAAGTGACGGACGAGAACGAGAGGTTGAAGAAACGATTGGAAGAGCTGGAACATGTCAGTCTTCTCTTATACTGTTACATTCGCCCTACTGTGTCGTCCTTTTTTTGGTCTTCCTGCTCCTCCCATTTCCTTCTCGTTCTCCTCCTCGTTCTCCTCCTTGTCCTCCTCTTCCTCTTGCTCTTCTTCGTCCTGATCCTTGTCCTCCTTCACATTCTCCTTCTCCTCCTCGTCCTTGTCCTCCTCCTTTCCCCCCTCCTCCTTCTCCATGAACAACAGCAACAACAACAGCAACAGCACATCCACTGCATCCTCAGTCATCAGATTGTCTGGTCTTGTTCATCGCTCATCCCCACCTTCAGGTGTTGCACGGAAGCAAGAACTCAACCAGCAACGATGCTGTGCTTCAGGTGAAGACAACACTCCTGTCACAGGCAAATGCGACGTGTTCTTGTTGTGTTGAGAGAGAAAGCTTTCTTAGATTCATTTGTGATCTGTTAACAAACGTTTCTGCTCCAACTCATCTGTCATATCATCATGTTGCACACGTCACAAACATCATACGAGTTTCCCTAAGGTTCATCTGAATCGTTGAATGTGCCATCTTAATGTCACTTCCATTAATGCCTGCTGATTCATTTCTTGTTTCGATGTTTGTTTTCGGTATCCTTTAGCTTTTATCTTCAGGACGATGAACAAACAAGAGACGCGAAAATTCCATACCACAGTGAGATTCATGGCTGCATCGAGGTGAGGAGTGGCAAGATGGTTGCAGACAGCGTTGCTGACTCGTACAATCTTCTCTCTTACTGTTGTTGTGTTTGTATTCTTCGTCATCGTCTCCCTTCTTCTTCTTCTTCCTCTCCTTCTGCCTGTTGTCTATTTGTCGTTGATGCTTCATGCTCCCTTGTCTTCTTTCTTCTCAGATTCTCTCTGTGGATGACAACGAGGTATTAACTTCTCTCTTTGCTCTCTTGTTGTTTTCATCACCTTTACCGCTCTTGCTCGCAAACAGGTCAACCACATGGTTGTTGAAAACATTCTCACTCCGCGAGGCTTCAAGATCACAACGTGCATGAGTGGAGTAGGTGAGTTGATGCGAGACGTGTTGTTCTGGTTTCCTGACATCACAAACATCACCTTCATTGAGACGTGTTGTTCTGATTTCCTGACATCACAAACATCACCTTCATTGAGACGTGTTGTTCTGATTTCCTGACATCACAAACATCATCTTAATTTCTTTCACTGCGATCATATTACCATGGTCTCTGCTCGTACTGATACATACCATGATTGCTTTCGTCACGGACTTGTTCCTCATGGCTGCCAACAGAGGCCCTGGAGCTCCTTGAAAGCCGAAGTTACCTACCTGACCTCATCCTGCTGGACTGCATGATGCCTGTGATGAGCGGGTTCGAGGTGAGAAAGAGGAGCAGGAGCAGGAGCAGGAGAAGAAGGAGAAGGAACAAGAGGAGGAAGGGAAGGAGGAGGATGGGAAAATGAGGAGAAGAAGGAGAATGAGAGAAGAAGGAGAAGGAGTTGAAGAAGGAGAATGAGGAGTAGGAGGTGAAGGAGGAGTAGGAGGTGAAGGAGGAGGAGGAGGTGAAGGAGGAGGAGGAGGGGAGGATTCTTGATATTTGTTTTGTTAGGTGTGTCAGACTCTCCGTCGCAAACATCCCCAGAATGCGCTTCCAATCATCATGGTGAGTTGAGACTTGGACTGAAAGAAACATGAGATGAGATGAGATGAGATGAGATGAGATGAGATGAGATGAGATGAGATGAGATGAGATACTGTGTCTTCTGAAAACGAGAAGACGTTTGCTGTTCGTGACAACTGAAAGTGATCTGTCGACAATACCCTTTTGAAACGTATATAACATCGCCCTCTCATTGTTTGATTATCTCAAACATGTCTTCGATCTTGACATTCTTGCTCTTGTTCTACCTTTTGCTCTTGTTCTTGTCACATTCACAAGCAACACAAACGGATTGACCTGATCTTGCATCGCATTTGACATGGACGGTTAATTGCCGTTGACAGGTGAGCGCGCGATCAGGAGACGAAGACATTGTTCGCGGATTGAGTCTGGGATGCAACGATTACATCACCAAACCTTTCAGCGCCGGCGAGCTGAACGCGAGGATCGATGTGCAACTGAAGATACGGTGATGAAGAGCAGGAGCAGGAGCAGGAGGAGGATGGAAATGAGGATAGTGGAGAGGACAATAATGACAATTCAAGTCATGATGATGAAGATGGAGTTGAAGATGATTGTTGCATGAATTGTGTTTTCGTTGCTGACACTGCTCATCAGAGAACTTTGGAGAAATGAAATCCAAAAACTTGGAGGCTGGCAAGCTCGATCCGAAAGGTATTGCCGCAACCAAAGGATGAGGAGATAGTAGTGGGGAAGGAGCAGGAGCAGGAGCAGGATTCATGTTTTCTTTGCACAGACTTCCCAAGAACGTCAAGATGAGGCTGAAGAAAGGTAATGGACGATGCTGGCGGGGGAGGAGGAGAGCAAGAGGGCAAGAGAGGGAGAGGAAGTGTGAGAGTAGATGAGGAGGAGGCAGAGGAGGGAGTTTGTTTGCTAACGGTGACCAACAGGAAGCAGTATGATCATGGACTATCACGAGAACGTGTCTGTTCTCATCTGCGAGCTTGTCAACATGCGAAGGTGAGGAGGAAGGGGTTGATTTAATCTGGTTGCAGGGGATATTACAAGCTACGTGACACGTATGATGATGGTGTAGATATGCTCAAGGGATGGAGATGGACACGTTTGTTCACTTCTTGAACCATCTCTATGGGTCAGCAATCCTCGGTTTTCCCTTCTTGTTTTCCTTTCTTCTCCTTCTCCTCTACCTAATCCTCTTCTGTCTCCTCTTCTGCTTTCCCTCTACTTTCTCCTTCTCAGTCTCTTCCTTTTCTTTTTCCTTCTCCTCAATCTTCTCTTGTAGTATCCTCCTTTCTACTTTCTATCCTCCTCTCCCGTCTCCTCCTCCTCCTCCTCCTCCTCCTCCTTCTCCGTCTCCTCCTCCTCCTCACCACCACCACACCTCTCATCTCTCTCCTCCTCCTCCTCTCTCCTTCATACTCGCGCACAGGACTCTGGATGATGTCGCTTCCAAGCATGGAGTGCTTCCAATCCTTGGAGACACGTACATGGTGGTGACAGGTCATGAGGCCAGGTAGGTCTCCTCCTCCTCCTCCTCCTTCCAAGTATTCCGCCTGCTCCTTCCACTGCTCTTCACCTTGGCCTCCTGCTCGTCTTGCTCTTCATCGTCTTTCACCTCTTTTGATTGATACGCAGACTTGGTCCTTCTCTTGCTGCTGGACAAAATCCTGCAGACAATGCTGACCATGTGAGAAGAACGAGAAAGAGAAAAGAAAGCGAGAGAAGGATGAGGGAGGGGAAGGGAGAGAAGGAGGGGGGAGGGGAAGGGAGAGAAGAAGGGGGAGGAGGAGGAGAAGGAGAAGGAAGAGGAGGGGAAGGGAGAGAAGGAGGGAGGGGGGAAGAGAGAGGAGGAGAGGGAGCAGGAGAACTGATTGAGGTGCAGCACGTGGACTCGTCGATCTCGAGCAGCAGGCGGCTCATCAAAGTTGCCATGGACTTTCTGAAAGTGGCGGACGAGATGTCGTACAACCTTCAAGGGAAAGCTGTCAGACCTCGAGTAAGAGGAGGACGAGGACGAGGACGAGGAAGATGGAGATGGAGGGGAGTCGTGAGAGTGCGAGGGGATGCAGCATAGGAGAAGCAAGAGGATTGAAGCAAGGAATGAATTTCTCACTACTTTCTCAGCTTCGGATTGGAATATCAACAGGAGAGGCTTACTCGGGATTTGTTGGCTCGAGGGTAAACAATCATCGTCTGCAGAAGATGATAACTGACAATCTCTTTCTTCTCTACCTCTACCTCTACCTCTACCTCTTCCTCTTCCTCTACCTCTACCTCTACCTCTTCCTCTACCTCTTCCTCTTCCTCTTCCTCTTCCTCTTCCTCTTCCTCTTCCTCTTG